ATATATATATATATATATATATATATATATATATATATATATATATATATATATATATATATATATATATATATATATATATATATATATATATATATATATATATATATATATATATATATATATATATATATATATATATATATATATATATATATATATATATATATATATATATATATATATATAATAGAATGATAATAATTATTGTAAAAGTTCTAAAGTGAGTGTGATTAAACATCTTCATCACATATTTTTGAAGCTTGTATCATGCTTATTGCCACCAGGCTTTCCTACTTTCACTTCTAATTATGAAAATTCAAAACAACGTGTCAAAGATAGGCAGGCAAGTATCAAATTCGTTAATTTTTCATAAACACGTCACAGCTACTAAAAATGAGACAGTACACTTACAAACAAACACATAGAAAAGTACATAATCGCACGTGCACGCACGTACGTACATACGCAGATGGAAAAATAATACAAATTCGCACATGTACACGTTACGTACACAAAAGCAAAGACACACAGAGGGCAAATACAAACACACAGATACATACGCACACATACACGCACAAATACACAATAGACTATTAGTAGCATGATTAATGATGACGCGCCGAATCCAGTAGCAATAAAAATTTCAGCCGACCATAATGGGCCACCAGTTATCAATCAGCAATTAAAACTGACCTTCCTCATTGTAATGCATGCACACGCACGTGTACGTGCGTGCGTGTACATACGCGCACACACAGTTGTATGTCTACATTATGCATCTACATTTAAAAATTTACATCTACTTTTGTATGTTGCATGAGTTCACATTTACATTAACATAAGTTACATGGCAATGAATTTATAGGTGTTACACCTAGTAAAATGATTGCATACAATCGCCAGGGTATGAATAATTGCGTCAACATCCAAACGCTCTTCATCGCATTTCTGCCTACACTCACATGTTTGTGCATGCCTGTATCCGCGTGCCTATGCGTTTCAATAAAATACTACGCAGTTGTGTATTAGTTTTGTATTTTTGTATGAATTAATACCAATGCATTTTACTTAGGTAACTGTTACACAGGCTATGTTACTCAATGTATCTGCGCATGCATCCTAATATAATAGTGAAAAATGATGCGTTTTTATATGCATATTATCAAGGTATTTTAAGAGAAATGAGCGATTTCATGCGGCTAGGGTTTTTTGTTTTTTATTTTTCATAAATAATTCCCAACGTAATGCAACAAACTCTTATAATAAACAACAACGGCAGACACCACACGACACACACAACACCACGCCACACTACAACATACAATCGCATCACATAGCCACTGACATAATTTTTCTGCAATTAAAACATACAAACACAGTTAAAAGCATCCATGTAGACACAAATATGAACCCAGTCACACATACAGACATAAATATAAGCATGCAAAATCTTGTAAAAACAAACAAACAACTAAACGCGAAAACACAAACACGTACATTTACACACATACACAAAGACACACAATCACGCACATTCACTCACACACAGACACACAAAAAGACAGACACGTGCGTGCTTTAATTCATATTTCCATAATGCATGCGATTGTGCAGTGCCTGATGCAGTCAGTAAGTAGCGTACTAATGTTTGCATTGTTTAACGCTTTCAAGCCCTCGCCCCCGTCTAAAAGACCATTATGTTTGATTTGTATGTGGATGTGCAGAACATAAACAAATTTTTCGCATGAAAAATACATGTGAAAATTATATTACGTGTTTGTTGTACGATGTTTTTGTGTTCGTTTGAATGCACACATGTTAATTGTGCGCGTGTGTGTTTGTGTGTACGCCTGCTGTATTTTTTGTGTATTCTTGTATCCATGTATGAGAACTTATACGTGTGTGTTTGTGTGTGTTTGTGTGTAAGAAAATATGTTGTATGAGTATGTGATGTTTATATTTTTTCCTTACATCAATGTGTATTGTTTTGTCTGTATACATGTCTGTAGACATGTCTGTATGTATGTATGTTTGTCTGTATGTTTGTATGTACATTTGCATATGAATGAATGTCTTTTGGCATGTTTAGTTGATGGATCAAACTGTTTGACCAAAAGAACCAATCAAAACTGCAGACAATGCAAACAATGAATGAATGAATGTATGAATGAATGGAAAAATGTGTAAATGTACTATTATGTGCATTTGTGCTATAAGTTTGTCTAAATCTCTCTCTCTCTCTCTCTCTCTTTCTCTCTCTCTATTCTATCTTTCTCATCTTTCTCTCTACATATACACACTCATACCTATATAAGCAAACACGACATCAAAATTATTTAAACAGAGGCCTTCTCACTCCCACACACTCATATGAGAAACACGCACATAAGAAACATAAACAAAGGCATTGTATCTTAACAAAAACATACAAACAATATGGAAAGTGAAAACACAAACACATGCAAACATAAAGAAAACTCATACATACAAACAAACAAACACATACAAGCAAACAGGAATATACAAATACATACTAACAAACAAAACAAAAGATACAAACTCGGCAGTAAATTATGATAGACAAACAAACAAATACAAATGCCAGCCAACAGAAATAAAAACAAACATCTCTATAAAGTTTAGCATAAATATATCAATGTACAATGTACGTCAGATGTATATCTGCCCTCACAAACACACGTACACACAAACACCCGTGCACATAGATACAAATATAACACAAATATACTAATACAAAACACATACACATTCATATTATACACACCACATGACACAACACACACATATCCTATCCTGTCAAACACACACAGAGACCTTATTACACAACTAAAAAAACGCAGACACACAAACAAACGAACACACACACAAACAAACAAACGAACACACACACACACAAATGCAAACACACATACACATACACACACACAACGCAGACAAACAAAAAACAACTTGGTGTTTTATCGGATGAGAATCGATAGAGCGCATATAGTGGTTGTGTATCTATTTAAATGATGTTCCTCTTCTCACTGAGTTTTCGAATGTATGCATGTATGTGTGTGTGTGTGTGTGTGTGAGTATGCTTATATGTGTGCGTATCTGTGTGTGTATCTTTGAGCATAGATATCTGTGTATGTGAATTATTTATATTTTTTGTGTCATTATTAGCCTTGTTGCTTTAAACTTCGCATAAATAACTTGTAATATTTTTGAGTAAGTGATTTTGAATGTGTTTTAAAACAACTATTAAATATCTGATTTTTTCAACTTTAATATCTCAATTTTTGCAAAATTTTTGAACTGATTAATATCGATGCAATAACAATCAGGTTCTATGTGTTTTGTTTATGCATATATACGTGTAGGTTCTCCCACATGGAAATGAATCGGAATGCCTTTCTTAAATGTTATCGCACCATAATGAATGGATGTACGTGAAAGTATGTGCGTGTATGATTGTGTGTTTGTGTGTGTATGATTGTACGTATGTATGTAAGTATGGGTGTGTATGTATCTATATGTGGGTGTGTATGTATCTATATTTCTGTGTATACGTATGTGCGTGTGTATGTGTGTGTTGTGCGTGTGTGTGTATGTGAGTGTGAAAGAAGTTAAGTAGCAAACATTTATTGCAACGATGGGATGAGCCAATTAATTGTTCAGTAATAACGTGATGTATTTGCCAGTGTCGTAGCCATGAAAATATTGTTGTTTTTGTTGATGTCATTATTTTTAATGTGATTAGTTGTTGATGTCATGTGTGTTGTTGATGTGATTCTTAATAGTGAGTAGCTAGTTGATGCTTTGTTAATGAGTTAATGTAGTTAAAATGGCCATTACAATTCAGTTGAAAACATAAATTTTCAAAATTATTTAAAACCTCATTACCTTATGCCTAACTTAACAAATGTAGATAATATATCTCCCCTAAAACGAACGGACATAACCCAATTATGAAAACTCTCTCTATACATTTTTCTGTCCGACGATGACCTCCACGAACCCTCGATAGGTCAAAAGGTCAAAGTTCAACAGGAGCAACAAATTATATAACGTTTGTCGTAATATATTTAAAAGTTATTTTTGCTATTTAGTTATTTGAAATAAAAATGTAAATGTAGTAAAATATGTGTATGCAGAATTAAAAAAAACAAATTCTTTTATTCGATCACTCATTCATTCATTCGTTCGTTCATTCATTCGTTTATTCATTCATTCATTCAATCATTCATTCATTCGTACTATGGAGATTGTGGGATGAACGATTCAATAAATAAATGGAAAAAAAATTATATATATATATATAATATATATATTATTGTTTATATATATATATATATATGTGTGTGTGTATATATATATATATGTATATATATATACCTGATATAATTGAATGAATGAAATAAATAAAATATATCTCTCCGTATGTTACATGGTTAACATTTTAATGAACATATAAACTTCAACTTGAACAAACAAACAACAACAACAATAATAATAATAACAATAACAATAATAATAAATATAAATATAAAAATGAGGTGATGGAGTGAAGGCAATATATAAAGTTGAAGATAGTACCATTTACAATCAGGAAAATTAAAATATATCAATAATAATAAGAAGAATAATAATAAATATTTATTGTAAAATATATCTACATATGTATGTATATATGTATGTATACGCATGCATATATTGTTATTTATATCAGATAAAGTTACGTATGTCCGTGATATGTTTATAATTTAATATTATATCTTAATAGAATATAGTTTATTATGTCTAAAATTATTAAATTATAATTATAATTAATTATTCAAACAATTCAATCACGTGATAATGATGCAGATTTGATGGTGTGATTGGATGATGGGTGGTGTTGATTGATGACGCGAGTGCAGTTGTAGGGCTGTGCCAGAGCTGGAAAATGATATGAAGATTCGGATGATAAAGATAATGATAATAATAGAAGTAAAGATGATGATGAGGATGATGATGATAAAAGTAAAGATGATGATGGTGTTGATGATGATGATGATATAATTTCGGTGATAACGATGATGAAAATTAGAATGAGATTGTGATGTTGTCCAAGTTTATAATGTCAGTGATGAAGATGATAATGATGTTGTTGTTGTTGATGATGATGATGATAATGTATATACAGTAATGTTGTTGATAATGATGTTGATAATGAAGATGATGATGATGTTGCTGCTGATGATGATGATGATGGCGATGATGACCTACAGTAAGTAGATCTTGATGATAGTAACAATATTTCTTTCCATACAGTCGTCAAATGAATGCATTCCCACTTGACCGTGGATTATTCCATTATGTTCTAGCGTTCATCCAACACACGCACGCACACACGCACGCAAATGTACACACATATACACATACATGCACACACACATACACACGCACACACACACATAGAGACAGATAAA